CTGTACAAAACAGTCAGCTTTGTTTTGCTGCTACGCCTTTGCCACCAACCAAGTCTCAGTGCATGGAACACTGGTCTGTGCTGCATCCAACTGTGGTGCTTCAAGCGCAAAACATGTCTTGGGTTGGCGTTTGGTTTAGGTAGGGGGATTGCTGCTGTGTTTTCAATCAGAGGGATTTCAATCAATGAACAGGATTTCCTGGCCTATGACTATTCTACCCCGAACAAGGCCTTTGACTAGGACACCCAGGTTTTCATTTGATTAATCATGTGAGTTCTTTGCTGTCACTGTTGATTGAAACCAAAGGTCTTAAGGTGTAAGGTCAGGTCGAGCATTGAAATTGCTGCCCATGCCGGCGTACAACGACAAAGTGCACTTGACCTCTTAGCTATTTTCTACTACCTAACCTTGCACCTCAAGTTTATCTTGAATGTCACTAAATGTACCTTATTTGTCACTAAATGTCTCTTAAATGTTCTTAAATGTTACTTAAATGTCCTTTAAATGCAATCTACATCTATTTTCACTAAATGCTCTTAAATGCTACTAAAAGCTGTTTATTCTCACCCTGGTCTCGTTTACCAGGGTCTGGTGGTTGACATATGATGATTTGCACCAGTGCTGTGTGAGCTACAACAACAACAACTACTACTACTACTACTACTGCTACTACTACTGCTACTGCTCCTGCTCCTGCTCCTGCTCCTTCCTGCTGCTGCTGCTGCTCCTGCTACTGCGACTGCGACTGCCACTACCACTACCACTACCACTTCTTACTACTCCTCGTGCTGCTGCCACTGGTTGTTACGCCGTGCGCCTAGAAACCCACCCATGACGCGACAGTTTTTGGCGAAAGATTCGCGAAAGTTCCGCGAAAGCATAGGCGAATGTGAAGGTTTGTTTTGTGGACCCCTGCCCAAACCAAGCAGCGACAGACCTAGCAAGACATGAGCGCAACAACCGTTGATAGCTCTTCCAGCTCATCCTCCACCAGTTCTGCTGATTCATCCAATGGTGGTGATTGAGAGTTCTCGCCAATTTGCCATGTAACACCTCAACCTCGTCTGCAGCTCCAAAATGGTGCTTGATGGAAGTGCTTAGGCTGCTATGTAGAACCACTAAACCAAGACGATTTCCAGAGGACATACCCCCCGCGAAAGTTAAACATGGAGTTCGCCGAAAGATTCGCGAATGTTAATTTGTGCGCTAAGAATGGCCTTCCAGCAAGAAGGAATTTTGATCAACCACCACATATATACACATGATATAGCACAAATGCTTGGTGATGCACAGAATTTTTGCTGACTGTCAAACACAGCAAGAACGGCCAAGATGTTGTGTGTTGACTTTTCCTCGGCACGTGTTGGTTTTGCTGAAGCAGTAATAGCTTTCAATCTACTGTAGCATTTTCCAGCGCCAGTCCAACAAAATAGGTCCATAATAGTCACCTCAATTGTTTTGACAGCCTGCAATTCAGAATCGACCGCTCAGACTGGTTGGCTTGGCCAACAGCTGCTTCAAGTTGAAACCAAATCCCCATTAAGTATCCATAGACTATAAAATAAGACTTGATTGTGCACTGTGCACTGGCTCATTTAGTACCAGTTGCATCCCAACCCGGCTGAGGATCGATATCTCCACTATTCAGGTTCATTGGGGCAACGAAATTGGTTTCAGCAACGACCTTCATTCGAACTGCTCGATGGTCTTCGTCAGCTTGTCGAAGGATGTGCCAATGATCATGACAGAAATCACAGGCCCCGTGAAAGCCGGAACGCATCGCATCGGTGTTGTCCACTCGAGGGCTTCGGGGGGTCTACCGCCGAACGCGGGATGGTGCGACCGGACGCGCACTTACGATACTTACGGCATCTTACAACCTCCGGACTCCAGACTTTCACCTGTTCAGGTGTCTTCAAGAAGAACCACATCACCATCATCCGAGCGCAGATTGATCCGACCGCGGATGACATGGGCGCAAAGCACATCTACTTTGTCCGCAGCCTGAGGACTGACTCCAAGCTGAGCAGTGTGGAGGCGGCTTAGCATTACACACGGTGAAACTCTGGGATTGGATGATTTTCACTACGGACTGGGCATGACTGGGTCATACTGGGTCTGTGATGGAGTTACCAAATCAGATGTTTCAAACATGTTCAAACCATTTGACACCACAAATGCCGTTGGACTTGGGGAGTCAACGAGTAACTGAGGTGTCCAGGGTGCGAGAGGATCTGGAGGTGGTGCTGCGGCGTCACAAGCTGATGAGCAACAGCTTTCAGGCCCTGAACGAGGTTGTGAGCCCAAGTTTCTCGGCTCCAGTGGAATTCGTGACGGCCTGTTGGTTGCTTTTGGTGATGCCGCTTGAGTTCCGAGCATTTGCCAGGGTGTGTATCAGTGCCTTATCCATATGCCCTTTGAAGATCTTGAAGGGGTTGTGACATTTTCTGACTTTGTATCTTAATTACAGTGCAGAGCTTTTGGGCCTGGGCAGGCTCAAGAGAATGCACTAGACTACCGTAATTATTCATGGTTTTCAGAGAAGGCGGTCTGTTGGGGAAGTCACGTTTGAAAGTGCACCTGGCTCATTCATATACTCAATATAATTATGGAAGCATACGGAAGCAGCTTGGCCCTTGGCAAGCAAATGTTGTGCATTGCCTTTTGGTTTGTTGAGCCGCCCCCCTTACGGCCACATTCTAAGACAATGGAGAAGGCGTCGAGAACAACGAAGAGTTTGCCGTTCATGGCACTCCTGATCGGCTTGCAAGATTGGAGGAGGCTTTGGTTTCACAGCAGGATACCTGGATTGGATTTGAGCACTGATTTGCATGGCATGCTGATTGAACCCCAGCAACAATTTCAATACCGCCAATACCTGAAGGTCTCGGCCACTGAACGTGCGTTATGTGCACACCCCACGGAGGAATTGAACCGGAACTTGGAAGCATCACTGCGGACTTTGCTGAATCCCGGCGGCGCTCGAGGTGCGGCTGGGCCGGGGAAATGGGGAGCGGCCTGATTGATGTGTAAAGTCTAAATGAGATTTGTGTCAGTTGATTACACGCAGCACGGACAGATACAGACGGAGACAGACAAAGACAGAGAGAGACGGGGGGCCAGAATGCCAAGAGTGCACTGTGAGTTTGACACATCCGCAGAATGTCACTCCAGTCCATTTGTAGCCACGTTTCCCTGAGAGGCTGTCTTCCACAATGCCTGCCAGCAAACCTGCTGGGCAGGAGGACCGAATTCGGCTGAGCCGATCGCGGCGGGCAAAGCCCCTTGAGGGTTGCAACCCGAGGTTGGCCGATCTGAACTAAGGAACATCGTGCAATCCGGTCAATGTGTTTGCAGGCGTTTTGATATATGGTCATCATGTGTTGAGTTGGTATATCCGGCCCAATTTTATGACATGCGTAGATTATTGGTCCAACATTGTAGTGACAATGAGCGTTGAAAGCTGTGTCCTCATGGGTGAGGTGCAGGTCACTTGATTTACAAAAGGTGGACCCAGATTTGAAACATTCAGGGCATACAGTACATTCCCCTGACTACAGATTGCACATGATTGCACGATATTGGCTGGGCAGCTGGACTCTGCCAACGTCAATCTCCGAATATGTGCACATCAGCGGCTGGACCTTTTCCTCGAGTTGTTGTGCCCTATTTCTTGACTCATAGTCTCCGTGGCTCCCTGCGTGCTGGAACAAATACTCTAAGAGTCGTAGCACAGCTGAGGACATGGACTTGTCACTTGCTTAAAAAATCCTCATTGGCATTTATTGGTGTTGACAGAGGACAGAGGATTCTCAGAGAAAATTTTGACCTTAAGTGATGCTCCTATCAACGTATACTGTATAATTTTCTCATTGCTCCTGCTTCGTTCAGGTTCCCAGCAAGCAGTAGCTTTGCAGCTGGCACCCCTGCGGGGAGCCACACAATCCGTGAGAATTTGAAGTGTGGCTCATCCAAGTATGCTCAGCTGACAGGGCAAGCTGCCGCACCTGAAAAATAGAGTAGCTGTGCTTGGGCCACGATTTTTCACTGAGGGTTGGAACCATAATTAGAAGGAGAAGTCATTCAGAACGAGACAACGGTGGCCGTTTTCTCTTGGAGCCGCACGATTCCAACCCCCATTCGCCTTTGATGGTCCTAGTGAACAAACATGTGAACGAACATGTTCTGTAGTAGGCCAGGCAGCTGTTCCTGGTCTATGCTCCATAGGTAATTCCAGGATAAAGCATCAGCTCATGCCGGCGATTCAGTAGAGCTGTGGGCCTGCGGGCGATCACTGCAGACTTAGATTTGAAACCATGCATGGCATTTTCCGAAAGCCTATCTAGTTTTGTTCGCGCATTTGTTGGGGTGGGTGATGGTAGGTGCTTACAGTTACAGTTGTGATAAGTTCTGAGTTCTGAACAGTCTCAACATTGGACAGTCTGCAGGAAGCCGGGCCCTCAATCCGAGACAAACCTCTTTGACTTTGACCAATTCAAAGGGAGAAGCTCCTGCGTCAGAAGACGCACATGGTGCCACTCCAATGGACTTTTCCACTGTTTGGCCAGGTGTGCAGCTCGTGCATCCCGGTTCAAAACGGGCCAATCTTCATGGGACTGCCATGGACCGCAGCTGTTTTGCCCGTGCAACTTTGGCAAAGTCTTTGCTTTTTTGGTTCGTTAGAACTCAGATGTGTTCATGTGACTGTAGCTTAAAGGCTTAAAGAGGTGTGCCAACGGTGGAAAGATGCGTTCAAGATGAATTCACACCTCAGAGGACGTGAGCAAGATTAACTATACTTTGTTCAGATCTACTCTTTGCACAAATTCCGGAGCTAGGAAGCGGATCTGTGAAATGTTACAACTAAGCGACGCGCAGCATGCCGCGTATGTCTATTCCAGCCTTGCGTAGCGGATGTCGTTCGAAAAAGAGACAGACTCCACAAGCTTGAGGCCTGGCATTGCCTACAGCCACAGTGATGCCAAAGGCATCAAAAGGCGCAGCCAGAGCGAGTTTGTCATTGTTTTGCATCGAGAATTATCGATGCATCGGATCTGACCAAACCTGAAACTGAACCAACTCCACACATCCCTCACTCGCCCCTGGCTTTGGTTGGGGGTTACAGCAACTGTGTGACTAGAAGTATGGTGTGCAAAGCAGCGTGCATGACCATTTGGCACCAGTGGAGAAGGAGACATGATAATTTGAGCATCCAACAACTTTCGTTCGTGCACATCAGCAATGAGGTGCCTGAAGCATGATTGAAATGATCAACATCTTGCAACACCGACTGATAGGGGGTAACCCTATTCCGCATTGGGGGCACACAGTTTTTTTGTCCGCCATTCATTTGGAGACCTTGCGCTTAGCGTGCGGTTTGCGATCGATGCTTAGTTCTCCTGGGCAGCAACTGCCTGGGACAGGCATAACGACTCATGGAACCTCGTTCTGTTTGAAGCAGAGACTGATCTCGGCCTATCATCTCTTTGATAGGTCCAACTTCGAAGGAGGAACGAAGCGCTGCGATTGGAAGCCAAGACGTTGATGGTGTTGAAGATAACAGATAGCGTTTTCAATCAGAAGAAATGATCAAGCAAAGAATGTCTCAATTGAACTGGCTCAAAGAGATGCATAGACACATTAATGTGTTTAAATGTCACTCATTTTTTGCAGAATTCAGCCTTGATCTCTTGGGACCGCAAGCGCTGTTGGGTTCTAGGGTCGTCCATTCTTGTGACTTTCCTGGATGAAATTCCACACGTACTCACACGGGGTCCAGGTACAGTACGTGTGTTCAGGTGATGTAAATTCACCTCACTATGCGCAAGACTATTGCTTTCCATCCAGTTCTTCTTTCAGGTTCTTGAAACAACACTGTACATACAGCACTTTCATCAGCACCCCCGTATATAACGATTCGTAGTCGATGGGAAACCTCGTCAACGTAACCTAACGAAGGACCAGATGCAATTTTACACATATCATCTCTCTATCTCTTTATATTTGTGCATCTACACAGACATGCACGTGTCGTACCAGTGTCTACCGATAGACCGGCACCCAAAGATGTCCACCCAGAGCTTCACCCGAAGATGTCGGTCGTCCCGGCTGACCACCTGAGGTGAAGTGCACCTTCGGCATGGCAGACCGCTTCACGGCCGCCAAACAAACGTCCTCGCCCTGGGGCGACATGCTACTTGGATCCGCATGCTCATGGGTGTGGAGGAAGCTTGTTCCGATCAGTTTGTCCGGATAGATATATTACACCACTAATTATATATGTGATAATGCCCGTGGTGGAAAGTACAGTACACTGGATCAATGTGTTTGGGTGTCAGAATTGGATTCGATGTATTTGGCGACCGCTATGTTCAGTCTATAGTGACTAGTGGTTGAAACTTGGGCAAGAGGTGGAGATACCACTATCACTACGTATCACTACTTGAAGAATGTAAAGGTGCCACTCAATGACTAGATAGGAGATTGTAACCTTGATGACGGGGACCTCTTGTTGGATGTACCGCTTGCCAATCCAAGTCTATTCTTCACGCACGGTTTCCCCCTAACAAATGATGCAACTAGTCCATTAGTTCCACTTCACCCTCAACATGTTGAAACCAATTTCCGGATTCCCTTTGTCAAGCACCCTCAGAGTCTGTACAGCTGGATGGTTTTGTTTTCACTAGAGCCATTGGGGCCAAGGCCATTGCGTGCCCAAAGTCTTGAGTGATTCGCCGGGGGGCATGGGGGGGCCAACATCCGGTCACAGGATCCACTTGACATCATCGGGTA